TGACGCCTCCAGTGGTGACCAAGGGTGAAATTGAGTGTAGAATCCATTTCTTGGGCCATATTGAGTGATTTGTGAGTGTATGTAGAAGAAAAAAGAGGGATAGAAAAGAATAATAAAAAACTTTGAATTTTTACACATTCAGCTACCACACCGTCTGGAAGACCTCCTTCTAGCGTTGAATGTCAAGAACGAGGTGGATGCTCGGCCGGTACAGCCGAGTCCAGGTCGGGTTGACCTACAGAAATTTTGCACATCGGACGGACCGATATACCGCGGACCGCTTCAAGTGGTCGAACCGTTCTTACGCTGGATCCACGGTGTACAGATCTTCTTCGAAACTAAAGATGTTGCTAATTCGGCCGACAGGATCAAGATCCTTGGCAATCTCATCGCGGAGACCAATCTCCAATCCTTCTACGCCAACGAGGCATCTGGGTTCCTGACCAAGTCCTGGGACGACTTCAAAGTGCGGATGTTCGACTTTGCCCTCCCCACGAACTGGTGTTCGAGCTTACAACGCCAGGTCCGCAAGCTCGAGATGTCGCAGACCAAAACCTTTCTGGAGTACAGTACCCGGGCTCGCACGATGCAGAGCCTATTCAACTTCGACGCCAACGAAGCCTCCAAGCTTGGAGATCTTCAACTGGCCCAATTCTTGGTTTATGGCCTACCTGACGCACTTCAAGACCGGATTTACAAACGCCAGCTATTAGAGGTGGCCCCGTTCGCATATGGCTCTTTCGAAAAACAAGCGAAACGCTTCCTTCCTGGCTTTGCATCGACCGACCGAAACACCTACACCGATAAGGACTACACCGAGTGCGCCACCTACCCTCGCCCGGGACGAGTTTGTCTGGCGAGTACACTCATACCTCGACTCGCAGGGCTTATGCCACTTCTGCAAAAAACATTGTGGTAGCGCGGCCGGCGCCTGTCCTGGACCAATCGATCGATCTCGCATCGACATCCCATCGACTTTCCCAACCCCGGTTAAACCAGCCGACTATGTTGCCCCGCGCTCCTGGGGTAAACCGACAGCCGCGCCAGGAAAGGCCACACAAGCTCCGGCAGGACGACCTTCAACCCGTGCTGCGAGCGTTGCGGGTATTGCGGACACGACACCCCTTGAGGCCCAAGTCTCTGCGCTGACACTCGACGCAGCTATGCGAGAGGATGGGCGCTGGGACACCTACTTCGACGACGAGGGATGCTTCCCCAGCCTGGAACCGGCCGCTGTAGCGGCACTCGAGGATCTCGACAGTCAACTCCTCGCGAACGAGATTGAGAAGGCCGAACAAGCTGCCCTAGCGGATGCTATCGCCGGTCACCCGGGACGCGCTTAACTCAAATTTCCGCCTCTTTATCCTTTTTTTTTTTTTTTTCTTCTTCTCTTCCTTCTTTCTTCCCATCTCCTTTATGAATTTATTTTACTTTGTTTTGTTTTATAAATTTTTCTCTTTCTTCAATTTTTTTATAGGAGGGGAGACTGTAAACCCCCCCTCCGGCTTGGTTCACAAACCTTTCACTCAGATGTCACATCCCCCTTATAGTCTTCATCTTCGAGTTCCCCTTCCTGGCTCTGCAGAGATCTTCCCTTCCATCTCTCTGAGCCAGGTGAGTTCCATTCTCTTTTCTCATTTGCTCTTTCCTTTTTGTTTCTCCTTTTTAGATTGTACTGAGAGATCTTCCCTTCCATCTCTCTGAGCCAGGTAATAAAAAGCTCCCCCGTGTTTGGTCTTAGAATTTTTTGGCTCAATAGCCCGCCTCCGTGCCTTTTTCTCCTTTATCCAGTGAAGGACTAACAGAGTCCTTACAGGTTACCTCCCTCATGGTGAAGACCTGTAAGGATAAAATTGAGAAGTTGGGGGAGGTTTCCCCAAAGTTAACTGACAAATTTGTTTCAGAGAAGAAGGCTGTTGTTTGTTCAAAGCTTACATCGGCTTTGGCAGAACCAAAATTCATTCGATCAAGCGACAATAAGAAGATGGAAACGCTACTGTTGAAGTGTCTCGGGATTTCTTTTCAGGAACGCTTGTGCCAAACTTGGAGAGACGGAGGACTTTGGTGTATGACGAAGTACAAATCGGTGGCTAAAAAGATCAGGCCGATTAACGAAGCAATTCCGCAGGCTCTCAATCCACCACTTCAAAGACCAGCTCTTTCGAGGGATCCATACGAAACACCACTTACACCTAACCCACCGGAATTTGTACCAACTGAGAAGGTGACGGAAGAACGGCTTAAGATGGTGAACTTTGGACCAGAAGGATGGCTGTCAAGCGAGGAATTGAAGCTCTTCAAGAATTTAATTGTCATTAGAGAAAAGGCCATAGCTTTCTGTACGGGAGAAAGAGGACTTCTAAAACACTCTTACGGATTACCATACGTTATACCAGTAGTGGACCACAAACCATGGCAGAAGAAACCAATACCAATTCCGGCTGCGATTAAAGACGATTATGTAGAATTAGTCAGGGAGCGGATAAGGACTGGTTTATATGAACAATCAACTTCCAGTTATTCTAGTCCAGTTTTCTGTGTTGCCAAGGCGGATGGGAAGTTACAAATAGTCCACGATCTTCAAGAAATGAATAAAGTCACAATCAAGGATGCTGGATTGCCTCCAGCGACGGAAGAATTTGTCGAATCTTTTGCAGGACGTGCATGTTACGGTCTGGGGGATATCATGGGTGGATATGATGAACGCGAATTAGCTCAAGAATCACGACCTTTAACCACCTTCGACACACCTTTGGGAAGATTTCAGCTTACCAGACTTCCTCAAGGGGCCACAAATTCAGTAGCAGTGCATCAAGCTCAGATGATGTGGATTCTTCAAGATGAAATTCCAGAGCATGTAGGAGTTTTCATTGATGATGGGGGAATCAAAGGTCCAGCTAGTACATATAACAACGAAGTCTTAGAAGAAAATCCGGGGATCCGTCGGTTCATCTGGGAATACGCCATAACCTTGGAACGAGTTCTTTTCAGAATTGAGGAAGCAGGCCTTACGATTTCGGGAAAGAAGTTTGCTGTCTGTGTCCCAGCTTTGGACATTGTAGGTCACGTGGTCTGTAAGGAAGGACGGCGAGTTTCAGTTCAGAAGAAAAATAAAGTGAAGACGTGGCCAACTCCGCATAACATAACAGAATTACGGGGATTCTTGGGCATTGTCACTTACGTCAGAATATTTATCAAGAACCTCTCAGAAATTGCGGCACCTCTCAGAAAACTCACGAGGAAAGATATAGACTGGGTCTGGGAAGAAAGTTGTAACAAGTCTTTCGAAAGATTGAAGGAGATTATTGGGGAAGAAATCACCCTGAAGAAGCTGGATTATTCAAAGGACGCAGGATTAATTAAATTAGCGGTGGATTCAAGTTTTATAGCCGCTGGAGCAGTTCTTTTGCAGCAAGAACTAGAAACCGGATTGGACAGACCTGTGCTTTACGAATCAATTGTTTTTTCACCCGTGGAATCAAGATACTCTCAACCTAAATTGGAGCTCTGCGGGGTGGCAAGAATTTTGAAGAAGCTACAGATATATCTTTGGGGTCAACACTTCGAACTTCAAGTTGATGCACAATCCTTAATTCAGATGATCAACTCACCATCACTACCCAATGCACCTATGACTAGATGGGTGGCTTTTATTCAGTTATTTTCTTTTGACATAGTCCATAAGAAAGGAAGTACATTCACCCTGCCGGACGGATTATCCAGAAGACCAATCAGCGACGAAGAACCAGAATTTTACGAGGATCAAGAAGATTTTGACGAAGACGAACCAGTTATTAGAGCCTGTGTTCATATCAATGTATCCAATCTTTCATTTGAGCCTAAGGAATGGGAAGCTTCTGGATATTGGATGGACCTCAAGTGGTACTTAATGACTCTAAAACGACCAACTGGGATGGATCCAGAAGATTTCAGAAAATTAAAACGAAAATCAGTCAACTTTTTCATTCAAGATGGACGGCTTATAGGACGACATTCACCTCTTGGACAATTGGTCATTTCCAACCACGATTATCAGTGCAAATTACTCCAAGAAGTCCACGAGGATCTGGGACACAGAGGCCTGGAAGAAACTTATCAGAGACTGGTTTGCAGATTTTGGTGGCCAAGTCTTAAGAAGCAGGTCAAGCTGTGGGTTCAGAGTTGTGAAGCGTGTCAGAAAAGGGACTCTTTAATTCCTCAAGAAATCAGAAACCCTACCGGCGAAAGTAGCTTATTTGGACGAGTGGCGTTGGACGTCTGTCACATTAAGGCTGGAAGATATAAATATTTACTAGTGGCTCGAGACGATTTATCTGGTTGGGTGGAAGCTGCACCTCTAGAAAAATTGACTGCGGCAAAAATTGGAAAATTTCTTTTGGAGGAGTGGGTCTATCGGTATGGCACAATCAAGACGGTGACGGTAGACAATGGACCGGAATTCAAGAGTGAATTTATCAGTGCAGTCGAGAAAATTGGGGCCAAGTTCAAGCCAACAACACCCTATTATCCTGAAGCCAACGGAATGATTGAAAGAGGCCATAAATCACTTAAGGATGCCTTGATCAAGATGTGCGGCGAATCTGGTGGAAAGTGGCGGGAATATTTACCATTAGTACTTTTTTCTGATGGAATTTCCACAAAAAGATCAACAGGTTACTCCCCATATGAATTAGTCTTTGGTCAAAAGTCTGTTCTTCCTGTGGACCTCGAAATGGATACCTATTTGGGAATTGATTGGATGGAAGTCAGTACAACGGCGGAATTATTGGAAGCCAGAACTCAGCAACTCGAAAGGAAAGAAGAACTCTTGGGAATAGCTTACCAGAAACTCCAAGACACTCGAGAATCCTCAGTCAGATTTTGGGACAGAAAAATGGCAGCTCGACTCCGGAATCCTTTGGCTCCTGGCAAAATGGTTTTAACTTATAATAAAAGCTTAGAAGATCAGTGGGGTAAATTATTTGAAAACAGATGGAATTGCCCTTTTAAAGTTAAAAAGCAGCTTGAAGGTGGATCTTATATTCTTGAAGAACTGGATGGTGTGGAATTAAAAAGAGCTTATGCTGCCTCCCATATTAAGAGGTTTTATTCCAGAGGAAGGGACTTGGAGGAAATAAGGGCAGATGAGGAAGATTCAGATTCAGACTCAGACTCCCATTCATCTTCAGATTCAGCATCAGATCAATCCTCAGAAAAAGATGATGCCAATTCAGATTCAAACATGGATTAAAAATTCTTCATTATTTTATCATCTTTTTCTCATATTTTCTTCATTTTTTATCTCCATCAGTTTCTTTCTGACTTTTTCACAAAAAAAAAAAAAAAAAAAAAAAAAAAAAAACAAGTTTAACTCATTAAATACCAAAAACATATCAGTTTTATACTCATTTTTGATAAGTTGGGGGAGGAGATTCATTTCTTATGAACTCAATTTTGAAATAAGTTTCTTAATTTTTTTCTGTTCAGGAATGGTTGAGGACAACCATTTAAGTTGGGGGAGGGGTTTCTTTGTCTTTCCATTATCAAATTTCAAAATTTATTTATTTATTTATTTTTACTCTGCAACTCTTATATCAAGATATTTCTAGATAAGCCTTGCTTGAATTTTTCAGTCAAGGCCAGTTTAGGAGGACTAGACTCATGAATGATTGCTTAAAAATTCAGTTGGATAAGGATCTATGGATTTCTTTCAATTTCTTATATACAAGTTTTTATTCGACTACAACATCATTTGAGGTTGGGGGGAAGAAGCGACTTAATTTGTTCGTTTTGAATCAATACCAGCACAAAACGAGCGACCAGATCGACACTACAGTTTTGAACGAGCAAGAAACCTTACCTTCGGATTATCAAGCATCACAAGAAAGCGACTGGATTCTTTTATCAACGAACAATAATGGTCTGGCATCACTCAAAACCAGCGATGAGGCAGTTAAGATGATCAATCTATCGATCTATCGAAGAGATCAAAGAGAGTATACCAGGATCAGTCCTTTAACGTCTAAAACCGGATCGGTCAATAATACAACAGCCATGATTACTTAAACTAGTATTGGAAATCAACATACAAAACCGGTTTTGGGGTTTAGTTCTATCAACAAGGGGTGAAGTCTGTACAGGAAGCGAAGGCGAGAACTGATGGAGGGGATAGTTGAGAAGGAAGGGGAGAAGTGATGATGGAGTTGGGGGAAGAGGAGACTGAAGCGAAGGACGAGTCCTTTATATAGGCAGGAGGTTGGTGAGGGGAAGAGTCAAAGTCAAATCGTTTTCCCGGGGGACCCCATTGATCCCCCGAGGAAGAAACAGCATATGAACACTTTTTATCGACTTGAATTCCTTTGATGGTCGATTGGAGACGGTCTTTAAGGATCAGTGCTAGAATTCGAGGGGCTAGTTTCTTCCATTGGCGAGTTTTTCTTTTGACAATGGAGTGGGGGCGATACTACGAAACCGGGCCGATGGGACTACACACTACCGGGCCGACTGGCAAATAGCCAGGGTGGGAAGTGTTAGAGAGCAAGTAGGCGGATATTGGTGGATCAAAGGAGCGAGTAGTGGATAATAATGGCGTGATCGGCGATGAAGCGGCTTGAGGAGGATGAATCGACGTCAAGTACTTGGTTTAGGGTGAATTTTGGAATCAACAGAAATCGGACGGCGGGTGGCTCGCGTCAAGCCGGATATCTGAGATTACAACACTAGAGAAATGCGGACAAAGCTATGAGCACGACTAAAGGACGAAGACAGGATAGAGCAATGTGACTTACTTAAGATGAAGATCCAACTCGCGACTAGTCGGCAATCGTCAAATAAGAAGAAAATTGAAACTTCCAGCGCGGGTCAATCACAAATTTCCTAGGAGGTAGATTACAGCCGTTGGCAAAGTTCATAGAAGGCCGAGAGATACCGGGCCGAGCTTGCAAGAACAAGGAGACAGAAGACCGGTCGATTCAAAGGGTCGGGATGATACTAGCGGATGGTAGTGCGGCCCGTTCAAGGAAGAATCTGCGGAAATGAGACCGATATCGTAGTGGGGTAAACAACAAGAGAGCAAATACATATAGAAGTGAAGAAGACTTACAGATTCAAGATACAACATCGTCGAGAAGATAGTCGTGGAGATTAGACGAGAAGACCGACCAGAGGTGGATAGATGAGGGGAAGAGTGCCGGGATAGGGGGATGAGTTTTAGTAGATACGCTACCGGGCCGGGGCCGATATGCCAGGATATAGTCAGAAAGGGTGAAAGGCCTGTGAAAGGAACTCCGAGGCGGAGAAAGACGAGAAATTAGGATTCGACTACTGCGCTCGCAGCAAGCCAAATTTGAGGACGTGAAAGGCTCTGTGAACGGTGCAAGGACTTCCACACCCCGACAATCTGAAAAACTTCAAAAATGGAGTCAGCCAGGAGGACCTCGGTTCCAGTCCCCAACTAGGCAAAACCCTACACACCTGATTCAACACCAAAGGACAAGGGTTCAATCCCCACCCTTGAACAAATTTTATACACAACACATTCTGGGTTCAATTCTCACCCAAGGAGTAAATTTTTGAGAAATAAGAAGGCTCCCTGTTCAATTCCCAGTCTCAACCAAATTAGCCACTAAAATAAAATAAACATAAAAATTATCAAAGTTTATTTTTATCATTATTATATCATTTCAATTTAGATTCTATTATACAAAATACACAAAGTTTTAGCCGTCAAACACAGTCATAAATCAGGATTGACTGGGGACAGTCAATAAGTTGGGGGAGGATGTGGTCATTATTCCTGTGTATGAAGGAAGAAAATTAAAAATTTTATTATTTATCAATGAAGGACTCAAGATATGGACAAATGGACGTCAGAAATGGAATCTACGGCCAATTTAACCCCTAGTCACTCACTGGAACCACCTTCATATCTCTACTGGATCAGAAGTTACGCAGAATCAAGGATGTCACAAGGAGAATCACAGGATCAGAGGCACTCAGCTGGAGGGTATATTGCATGGGGGTATATTGCATATTTCATATTGAATTCCTTTTATTCATATTGAATTCCTTTTATACTTACAGAACCACAAGTTGGCCACCAGTTGTACCAGTTAAATTCCCATTTATTCAGCCACAGAACACATGAATTTCTTTCTTACAGCTTACATATAAAAGGAATGCGTTGTAGATAGTCTAGCCAAAATCCCTCAGGATTTTCAAGGATAGGGCAGCTAAAATGCCTCATACAGGGGGTCCCTTGGGGCTAAATCCCTCATAAATTACTATATAAGGAGGCCTCTGCCTGCCAGTTGTTTCCCTCCTCATCCCACTCAGTACACATTTTTGGTGGACACCTGTCACAGATATTTATTACACAAGAGGTTCACAAGTAGTACAGTTCACAGTTGAAATATATACACAGTTTCACAAACATTACACAGAAGAACCAGTCCTTTGTTCCAGTCCTGGTTGAAGCATAGTGCTCCCAGACCCTTTGGGTTCAAGAACCACCTCTATTACATATACAGCATTAAGGAAGAACACAAGTATCAAGACATCAAGACGAGAAACAACATCACCAACTCAATCAATTCTTTGGACAACAAGATCAACCTTCAACAATTATACAACCATCTTTGAACATAATCCATTATCACCAACCAAACTGCCAAGCTTACCTTGGTGGTCTTGTTTTCTGATAATATAGAAAGGCAGAGTTTGCAGCTCATTTCATCCCTTTCTCTATTCAGCAAAAAGGATCTTATAATCACTTTTTGAGTCTTACAACGAGCGGATGCCTTCATAACACGGCAACAAACAAAACGACCAGTAATGGTGGAACATCTGCTACTTCTTCACAAACACCTGTCAAAATCCAATGCCTTAAGCAGGGCACTACTTGATATGGCGCTGGTCGCGTTCTGGGGTATGGCACAACTTGGCGAGTTAACGTGCGCGTCAAATCATGGCGACCTAAAGAAAGACGAAGGCCCTCTGATATCAGAAGTCAAGGTTGCACGCGATGCGAGATCAGCTATCATCATATGCGGTTTGCGAAAACGGCAAACAGAGGCGAAATCCAGCAACTGTTCCTCACTAGCACAAACTGTTGAGATGAACTCAGGTGACTGGAGACAGAAGTGTTGGAAAGGATGATGATTCATTTCAACATCAAGAAAGAAAGGGAAAAAGAGAAGAAAGAAAAGGACATACCTGGAGACAGAAGTGTTGGAAAGGATGAGGAAAAGAAAGCCTCCCAAACACAACTGAATCCAGTATAAGAACTAAAAGAGAAAACACGTGAATGTCACAGAAAGTGACATGAGAGAAATGAAATCAAAAAGAAGCATACAACATGAGATGTCACTGATATCTCAACACAAACAACAAACTGTGTCCAGTGAAAGCTCTGATCAACCGTATCACTGGGGGGACGCCTACCGACTCACTTTTTGGCATAACAAGGGAGACAGGCAGAACCAACCTCACAAAAGGGTACTGCACTCGTCGTCTCCAAGCCGCGTGGCGAGGTATGGGTTTATCAGACCTGACCGGCCACTCTTTCAGAGTAGGAGGGGCGTCACTACGCAATGCACTCAAAATTGACATCGGCACCATCTGTAAGCTAGGCCGCTGGAAATCGTCATGTTATAAATTATACATCAAGGCGTACTCGGAGGAGGACCTACGGGTCACACTTTGTATTTTAGAACAACTAGATGCTGGTGCAGTTAAGCCCAGAGTTTGAGAGAATAAGAAAACCACAGTCGAAGTTGGGGGGGTCGCGTAGGCTCAGGCTTCTTCCTGAGTTTCAGGTGTAGCGCAAACCTCACCCCCCCCCCCTTTCTCTGCTGTTAATTCAGCATGCTTCATTTCTCTCTGCTTCAGGAGCAGAGTCTCAGCCTTTTTTGAAACAAACCAGTTGAACCCTCTCAAATGGTTTGAAGTCCCTGGCAGAGTTTTTCCCAAAAAAGATTCTAGACTCTCCCCGAGACCCGAACACCGCCGACATGAAAACCCATCTTAATTGACGGGGACCATGGAGGCTCACGGGACTAAGTGCCAAGCCCATGATAGACTAGACACCTTAGTCCCGGAAAAGTGTGCAGAGACTGAAATAGCAGAGACGGCTTGGATTTTTGGGTATTTGTTTTCTCATTTCACTTATCAGAAATACACTCTTTAGTTTGATCATTCACAATACTGGTTGCAGAATTTTTTGCTCCTAAAACATTGTCTGTGCCTTTATCTTATTGCTGCTATTGATGGTGAAGAGAGCATGGGAATTTTACACAGCCTTACCATGAAGGGTTTTAACCAACGCAAGGCCTGTTGCAGCGAAGTGGTTTTGTTGTTATTCAGAGGCTCAAAATCCTGAAAATAGAAAAGAAAAAGCATGATTATTTGATTCCACAATTCAAACATCCTGAAATTCCTGGGTTGGTTTATGTGGTACGCAATTGTACACCCTGTACTGGTATGACACATCTTTGTTGTCTTATTTTTCCTCTTCCCGCCCAGTGGCTGCTTCCCTCTCATGTCAACTTGTTCGTTTTCCAAGATTTCTCGGAACTTACCTGAGCTCTCATAGGTGTGTCGCTTTCCTCTCGACTAGCTCTTTGTCCCTCTCTGGAAGGCGCGTTCCAACCAGTCATTGAAGCTATTCTGGATGACCATTTATGAGCTGAGAGGCTTTTAGTCCCTCTGTTTGCCCGGCTAATTGAAATAGAAAAAAATTTGATGACCGGCCTGAACCAGCGGTAGAGAATACATGGTTCCTCTCGAAAGCCGATTCATAATTGGTTATCCAGTCCTCCTCCTGAGAGGTTCCTAACGGCAATAGCCCGGAAGTGAAAAAAGGGGTGGACGACACTTCTTTCCAGCGTCGAATTTTTTCTAACAAGCCCATAAGTAAACCCCCACTTGTTTTTCTGACAACATCAGCGGACAATGAAGAAGACTAGAACTCCTCATCCAGGGGGAATCGTTCCCGAAATCTTCGACGACTTTTTCACTGTACAATCTTTCTTTTTACTCCAATGTTGTTTGTACATTAAGGTAAGCATTTTCTTTCGCCATTATTCTCATTTCTTGTGGCATGGACGTTGTAGTACATAGAGTGGCGTCTTGTATGACGTAAGCGTATTCTAACAGTCCCCCAAAGTCATCACAACTCGTAGCAGATGCGATGAATGTTGCACTATGTGTTTCCGTTGAAATTTTGAACCTCTATTCCCACACTAGAAAAAGTGTTGGATCGCATGATCCCATAGGCGCGATAACATCGCATCCCGCTGGGCGACGAGATAACATC